CAGGAAACTTACGATAGATCTTCTACTTGTCAAAAGAGTAATTGTAGTAAAAACCAAAGAACCGCGACTGCAGGAGTGTTTATATTAGCTGATTCAGAGTTTAATTAAAAGCAATGGAAAAACCTGCTTGGAAGTGCCTTTCACCGTTTCACTTTGTGACTGGTGTTTCTGTCAAACAACTGTCCTCCCTTGTTACTGTATGTGTAGTCCATAAAGGTTAAATTTAGGAACTTTATATTTAACCATGGCTGTTTTTCACCAGATATGCAGCTTCTATTGATGACATATTGGAAGAGGAGGAACATTATGCAGATCAGCTGAAAGAATATCTCTTCTATGCAGAAGCACTACGGTATGTACAGAAGCGTATAGCTCAAGCTGTAGTCCTTTCCTCTAATATTGTGTTGATGTTGAATTTAGTTTGGTATTGTCTTCTGTTCTGTGAGAAGTGGAAATTTCAATGTTGTGGATCTCCATGTTCTCATCTCTTAATTTGTGTACTCATATTTGATTGCCATGTGGGTGGCAATAAAAATTAGAACTGAACTGATCAATAGTGAAATGACTGAAATGTTAAACTCTGTATACTGGGGAAGGCAATGCTGTTTATTCCTCTGGTTACATTGTTTCCTTGGTGTCTGATATAATAGTGCCCCAATGTGCTGAAAGCCGAAGCTTTCAAATGAGATGGGTCAAACAGAGCTGCTATGGAAATTACAAATTCCATTAAGCTTCAAAGTGCCCTGTATAACTTTCATCTGCTGTACAGTGTTGTGCATCTAAATACTGGTGGGTTTTATTGGTGTGTGTGGGTTGTTTTTTTTAACGTTAGCCTCCCTTACAAGCATGGATACAAAAGCAAATTGCTTTATGGTATAAGATTGCGCCTAAAGCTATTGTGCTCTCCATGGGCTGGCTCTGAACCTCTTGGAGAGGTTTGGTGATGCTGTACAGAATTGGGTTGGCAAGTGTGACGGTTGCTGTGTGGGAACCCAGAGCACGAGTAGCCTCTCCTGGGAGACGAAGTGCATCCGGCAGTGGAGTACGGATGTAGCATCATCAGCCCACACAGGACTGGGACTTACTGCAGGTGGTCAGAGGAAACTCTCCTCTTTTCCAGATGAAAGGCGCTATATGAATCTAGGAGCACGTTTCTTGTTTCATTGTTTGAAAAATAAAATGTGAAGAATTTTGACTGACTGATACATTGCTGCTGTGACAGGTACCATCTCCAGGTACCTTTTGTCATAGTTGTGATTTTAAATAAAACTGTTTTACAGTGGTGTCCTTAAGTAGGTGGTAAGGCTTATATTACTGAGTGTCTCAGAATGAGTCTAAAAAGAGGAGCAGAAGAGCAGGAAGCTTGTAGTAAGAACTTCCTTTATACTTTGATCTAAGCTTGCTTAACTACAACGTTTGCAGAGTTATGCATTCTGTGATAAGGCTGTTGAATTCAAGCTAGATAAATAACATGCTGCCTGTCAAAAAAAAAAAAAAAGCATGGTGCTGTTTGTAAAGTTTAAATGGAGGGAAACGTAGCAAAATAAAGTATTATGTGATGGATCTTTCATTATTTACTTTTCAGGGCAGTTTGTAGGAAACACGAACTAATGCAATATGACTTGGAAATGGCTGCACAGGACCTAACATCTAAGAAACAGCAGTGTGAAGAGCTGGCAACAGGAGTGAGTCTTTCCACTTCCTTCTCCAAGATGCCTTTTTTTATAATTTTTTGAGCCATTTACTTAGAATGACATTTAAATGCTACTAACATGCTGTCTGCTGCTTATGAGAAGCGGTATCGTATGAGCTGTAGGCATCTGAGGTTTAAAGTAACTTGGTTCTTGGTGATATAAGCTGTTTGTACCAAACTTCATTTATTGAATACTGAGCAAGTAAAGGGTTGCAGAAAATAGGACCTGAGCAGAATAACTCAAACAACTCTACCCTAAAGATAAAAATTCTGAAAGGCTTCCACTGCCTTTTGAAAGGTGGATATTACTGATACGTGGATAGTCCCTTTTATATGGAATATAATGTTACTGAAAATATTATCTTAAAGGGGTAACTTCAAAAAAGCGTTTAGAATTCTTAATATTCCTGTTGGATCTGTTGGAGCTCTATATGCAACTATTTTACGGCTTTTCTTTCTCATACAGAACACAAGACTTGAGTTCTTTACTACTTCAGAAAACAGATTACCCGTGTCAGTGGAATGACTAACTTATGGTGCAATCCACAGACCAGCCTTTTGGGTTTGAACGATAAATTAATTCCTCCACACTTTGCTCAGTCTAATGTGAGCCACCGTACCTTCTATAGCTTCCGTATCAATGGCACACTCATAAAATGGAAGTTAAAGTAAAAAATTAGCCGGATAGTAAGAATAAGCCCAAATACTGGTAAAAATCACATAATGCGTTGTGGCTGTGCTCAAGAATCCCAAACCTAGAGTGTCTTTGTTTTTTGTAGACTGTGAGAACATTCTCCCTGAAAGGGATGACCAGCAAGCTCTTCGGGCAGGAAACCCCTGAGCAGAGGGAAGCCAAGATAAAGGTTCTGGAAGAGCAGATACAGGAAGGAGAAGAACAACTTAAGGCTAAAAATCTGGAGGGCAGGTAAATAGGCTTGACTTTTTCAAAGAGAACACAGGGCTTGTCTTAGCAAAAGTCCTTGACTGGATGCTCTTGAAGGTGTTTGCATTTTATAAGTGTTTTTAATATATTCTTGGTGTTTATGAGCTGTCTATAAAAGCTCCTGTCAGCTGCAAGTTGTGAAATAAAGTCCAGTACATGCAGTTAGCTTCTGGTCTGAGTATATGGCTTATGTAAAACCTGATGACTTTCCCAGTTACTGATCCCACTCTAATGGCTGGCTTGCATGCTTTTATGTTCAGCTAGTAATACGTTTAGCAGGTGGGCTTGTAGGTTTGCAGCTGAATAGCCTAAGACTCAAAAGCTGATTTGCTTCAAATGTAGAATTTACTTTGGTTTATGTGTATGGGTCCTGAGCTGATATTGTACAGCTTTTCATATGGGGGACAACTGACTCCTGTTTGAAATACATTAGAAGTTCTGGTGAGTTGTGTTTGAGTAACTGCTTCTCGGTGCTCTAATGAAATTTTCTTCAGGAATGCAAACATGAAAAATAGGAACTAACATTCCTAAAGGAATGTGATTGTGTCAGAACACGTTCATCATATAACATAAGGGGTAAACGTGGTATCTCCCGATATGTTAGGATTAGAGCTTGAAAGATAAGACTAGTTCATGAATAGTTCAAAACAACGAGACGCTCAGCAAATGCAATTTCTTAATCATTTTGACAGAAGTACTGGAGATCTGCTTTTGTAGCTCTGGCAGGAATTTTCAAGTGAATACTTGCCTTCTATGTATAATCCAGCACAAATGAAAGCTATGAATTGCAGAAATCTACCTCCATTTTAGTTAAGGAGACCTGAAGACTTATCACCAAATGAACAAAATTAATTCCTGACGTGAATTATCTAAGTCAAATTTGCATTGTAAATATTTTTGTTGTACTTGAGTGTCTCAAATCCTGATGAAAAGTGAGTTTTCATGTTGGAAAGACCAAGATTCTGACTTGACAGTTGTCAAAGAAATGTGCAATGTTGTGTGCGGAATGTTAGCATGAAGATACTTAGTCACCCCCAACAGAATCTGAGGAGAAAAGTATATTCAGAATTATGCTGGTTCTATGGCAGTGATGCTTACTGGGGAAGAAATACCCCAAACCAAACAACCCAACACATCCTGTGAAACTGATCCTCTAGATTCAAAACCTTAAGAAGAAGGTGAAGAATTAGGTAGTAGTGCCAGTTATAAAATGAGGACACTGTGGGCTGCATAATAACTACAGGACTTGGTTTACTGACTGAAAGATGGAGCGCTTTGTCATGCATAGTTTCTCTGCTGAGGGTTCAGAGGAAGGAAGATCAGCTGAGGATGGATCACGTAAAACACTTACTAACAAAAATATTGCTTTTAATTCCAGAGACTTTGTCAAAAGTGCCTGGGCTGACATTGAACGGTTTAAAGAACAAAAGAATCACGATTTGAAGGAGGCGCTTATAAGCTATGCTGTTATGCAGATTAGCATGTGCAAAAAGGTACGTTTGTGAAAGGCCAGGCTAGTGTGTATATCGTATCAGCAGGGGATTGGATGCAAACTTTCGGTAACTAGGAACATTGCAGTCACAGAAGGTTGGAAGTCACTAGCGTAAAACCTCCCACGTATTCTGTCCCACTCTCAGTCACATGTTGATATATAATAGGCAGTGTGGTCCAATTCCAGTGTGGTCTCTGCCTCATTCTTGTGTGAAGTTCCGTGGGACTTTAGTGTAGAGTCTTCTGTGGAAGAAAGTCTGTTGATGAGGTTTGCAAACAAAGTATACTTCCACCTATTGACTTTTAACTGTTTTTTTTTTGTTTTTGTTTTTTTTTAAAGGGAATTCAAGTTGTGTGTCTTGCAAAGGAATGCTTCAGCAAGATGTGATTATCTGGAAATGAATTCCTACTCCAAGTGCCAGAGAACGGAAGCACAAATGTATAACACCAATGTTAAGTTGCTACATGACTTACATATAAATCATGAAATAAATGAGTTGAGTGAATAGTTTTTCTTTCTGCTGATTGTAATTGTTAATAAAGGACAAAAAGGACATGTTACTAAATGTTTAGCCCTGACTGCCACTTCTGTGGCGTGTTTTATATGTGGTAGCAAATAATTCAGGGGTAAAAGAGTTACTGAAAACTACAGCTCTGTATTGGGGCAAAGGTATAGGGAAAGTTATCCCAGAAAGTATGAACTGAACTGCTCTGAGACTTGTGAAACACCATGCTCTGTAATGTGTAGATCACTTCCAGATGCCCTTCTTTTCAGCTTTTGCTGTTTAGAATTTGTAATGCTCAAGGGTGCTTTGGTTTTATAATGGGACACGCAGTTGTGTTCTTGAGGTCTACACCGTAAGAGAACAAAAAATGAAATATTGTAACGCCTAGGGTTCATATTTAAATGCCTTTGCATGTCTATAGAGAAATGTGCTTTTGCAGAGTTCGGGTTAAGCACTCTCAAGCTCCTGAGATGTCTGAAACTCTCTACAGTAGAGGTGTTGTACGATGGTTTGATCCAATATTCTGCATTTACTGGTTCCCACTTAAGTTTCGATATGGGCATTGATTTCTTATCAAACTTCTTCCTGCAAGTAAAGGAGACTGGTGATCCAGCTGAGCAGCAAAACCAAAGTCAAAGCTGGTAAGAAGCGGATGCAACTTCTGTTTGGTTGTTTGGAACCTGTTTACACTAGATGTGAATCTGGCCTGTGGTACCTCTTCTTGTAACTGAAGCGATTTGCTTCTTAAAGGAATAGTTCTTAATGAAGATGCTGAAACAAAAAAAACCTGGTGCAACTTCTGTAGTACTTAAGAGCAGTGATGTGCAGAATCCACAACGAACCAAGGTGTCTGTTTGGCTCTTGTAATGATGTTTTGATGTGTGTATGTGTCTGTTTCAGTGTGTGTGTGTATATATATATGTGTGTCTATATATACACACCAGTACAACATGATTTGCAGTTACAGGTACTTGATTAAATGTTTCCAATTATGAAAAACACTTACCACTGTCTAATATTAGGATTTTTATACATACATACTTAAAGTTCCTGAAGTCTTGTGGAATTTGTCAGACTTGATTGCTAGTCCTAAAGGAGACTTTGTAATATTCTGTTGAAAAGTGTATTTAATTATTCTGGATTATAACACTACTCAGATTTTGATTTTTTTAAGAGATACTCCAGGAAGTCCTTAGAAGTTCTTTTGATAAATTATTGATAACATAGTTGCTGGTATGTCCCATGTGACTTTTGTCTCTGCAGCATTTCTTTTCTATAAAACCATTGTAAAGAATTTGTAGGCCTGGTGTACACTACAGCTTAAAACTGAAGTAAAATGCTGGTCACTCTGATAACCTGCGTTGGCTTTTTCAAAGCAACAGTGACACTTCTGGCTGAGAGATGATGTTGGGCAGAAAGAGGTCTCTCCATATAGCATTTACAAGGAGAAGTGTTGTTCCGTTCAGAGGTTGCGATATCCAGTTCCGGTACAGGCTGAAGGACTCTTACATTCCAAACCAAGAAGTTGCACACTTGATGTATTCAGTAAACCTTCTAAAGGAGTGGTGCCTTAATACAATACCGTGAGGCGCTCAGAGTAGGTATTTTTCATGCACTTTGATTTTTGGTAGATCTTTCTGGTGCCTCTTTCCACATTTCACTTGCTGTACAGCTTATTAAATGTATTAGTATGCCTTTTTTTCCTTGCTAGTTGTACTAAATTTAAGAAGGGAACAAAACGGTTCTTGTAAGTTTTGTGCCATATATGCTAAATAAAATTGCTCTTTGATATTTTTGTTATGTTGCTTTCTGTAAAAATGCTGTCTTCCCAGTTCTGACAACCGCTGTTCAATTTCTTGAAATCTGTTCTTGTCCATCTTGGCTCTCAAATGGCCCCCAAACTTGGGTTTAAAATTTTACTAAATTGCCCACAAGTAGCTTATTTGCCTTTTAGGTGAAGCACGGAGCGTTAAGGCTGGACTTAGATGCCTGTTGCGTGACAGCTTTGATCCCTGCTTTGGTTTTGCCCAAACAGAACTACCTGTCTGAATTTCACACACGTCTGCATCTAGGTAAAAGGAGATGCATTTGAAATGGATTTGCGTTGTTTGACAGACAGTTGGGTGAAAGGTGGGTTGAGGATAATCTGCAATAACTTTTATTTCTGTTTGTAGCAAAGCGTTGCATGCGCTCTGTGTACTTGTGGATCTTAGCAAACAGTGAAGGTTTCTCCCTGTCTTTTAGCCTTTTAACTTTTTAAGGGGAAATCATGTAGTTAATGGCTGTTTCCATGTAGTTAATAGGGTCTACGTGACAAATGCATACTTGTGAAGCGTGCATTTTCCCAGTTACAGTGCAGGTTTAACTTCTGTAACTCAATCCACTTTGCCTCAGTGGGCTTCCTTCGGTTATCCAGTATACATCAAAAATTGGTGGCAGGCCTTGAGAATAACAGCAGGTCAGTAGGCCATTTTAACTCAAATCTCAACAAAGTGCTTGTATATGAAAGAGTTTACCTACACAGATCATCTGATTTGCTGGTGGAGCTGTCACTTCCGTCCCAGGCAGCTTTGCGGGGTGGATTATGGCTGGTGGTGCTATCCGTGACCTTCCCCACTACGAGCAGGACCTTGACTTGTCAGCACATTTTAGCTGCTACTGTTGTTTGCTCCTGAAATGTAGCTAGGGTAAGGGAGCCAGCTGAAATGGAAAGATAAGGTATTTTTATAAACTCTCTTTTATTTTTATTTTTCTAAAATGTTTTATGACTTCAGTATCTGGCATGTCAGCCAAAGTGGAGGTAACCTAGCAGCTGTGTGCAGGGACTACTTTGGCAAGCGCAGAGCAGATCTTGGAGCTCAGGTCTTCACCGAGGAGCTCTCCTTGTGCAGGTGAGCTGGAAGAAAGCGGTGGCGGTGGCCAAACACGGGGCAGAGCCAGCGCAGCGGGGCTGAGGTCCGGAGTGTCTGGCTGGGCTGTGGGCGCTGCATCCTAGGAGAGACCTTATGTTCCTGTAGGGCTCTCCCTACCACCCAAATTCTTTTGTGCGCTTTGGTTGAAGAAACAAGAAACACTTTCTAATGTCCTCTAAAGGATTCCAGGGGAGGACGTTATCTTAATTCCCCACGCCCCCACGCTTGCCGTGCAATGGCAAGGCAGAGCTCTAATCACACTTCCTTGTGTCCGCCTGTTCGGTGCATCCGTGTTGCCAGCGTCTTGCGTTTGCTGTTAGAGCTCTGTGGGGCGGCGTGGTCCCCGTAGAAATAGCACAAACAAAGGAAGCGGGCGGAAGGAGAGCTTGTAAAACGGCAGTGCAGGCTTCAGTGCCAAATCCAGGCACTGCACACTTGTGACTGCTTTCGCTGGTGCCACACTTTTCTAAGCGGTCATTCTTCTGCTGTTGTGGAGTGAAGGCTCACTGGAAGCCCTGCAGTTCAAGGGCTCCTGCCTGGTGGGTTCTCTCCCGCTGCCCCGGCAGAGCTGGGCTTTCTCAGGGCTGGGGGTGGGAGTCTCGCAAAGGATGTGTGCTCTTGGTCCAGCTCCCGTAGAGACCTTGGCGCTGCAGGAGAGTAACTTGCGTGAGCGGCTTCCCTCTAGTGGGTGGCCACTGGGGAGGGTGGGATGCTCACTGCGGCGGCGGTAGCCAGAGAAATGTCACTCTTTAAATGGCAGAGGCTTCGGTGTCCCTCCAGCTGAAACGGGGAGGTTTGACATGTACCCCCTCTGCGGTGCGGCTGTGGTGAGTATCTCCTCCTGCCTTGGGCAGTCTGGAGAGCCTCGGGCTCCTGCGTAAGCAAAGGGCTGTGACTTTTTTGCTGCTGTTTTCTGATGCTTCTTAGTATGATACCGTCTTACCAAAAGGATTTTGCAATTGTGACTCCCGTAGGGTCAAATACAGAGGAGAAACTTCCCCCTCACCCCCCCTTTTAGTTGCTTCTGAATGGCTGGCGTAGAGTTGCATTCCCAATGTGTATTTTCATTAAAAAAAAAAAAAAATAAAAAATTTGCTTTGACTGGTTGTAGAAGGTATGTAAACCACAGAACAAAGTCAAACTGGAAAGGATCTTGGGTAGATTTGGAGGAAAACATCTCCAGACAGTGAAAGTGCAGAGTATTTGGAGGTAAGGGGAGATGCCACCATGCTGGGAGAGGCAAGGGGGGGGGTTAAGCTGTGTGCATGTGAGGGAAGATAGGGTTCTGAGGAGAGGTGCACAAGGAGGTGAGGAGGAGACAAGAGAAAGTGCACAGGCGGGAGGGAAAGCAGTGATGGGATGGGTGGAGGATCTGGAGAGGAGAACAGATGGAAAGCTGCTGTACCTGTGGGCTGTGCTGTGCAGAAGGGGAAAGCAGCACTGCGTGGCCCTTGTTTTGGAGGGGGGTGAAGAAGTGAGGGAGGTGGAAACAGGAGACAGCGGAATTTGAAGAGCTGTCAAAGACATGAGAATATAATACTAATGACAGTATAATGATAGTATCTAGGTCTGGATAAAACTTGTGGTGGTGACTGTGGTCTTAAAGCAGAGTTCAACACTGGTAATGGTGTAATACTTGAGCTCAGAAGGAGAGATTTGATTTCTTTGTCTAATATTTCGTATCTATTTTTAATATGATGGCTTTGAATTTTCTGAATAAATAAAGTAGGAGAAGAAGTTTCAGCCTTGAAAAGCTCCGCATAAATGTTGCGGACACCCTGACCCTACAAAACACCAGCGTGATCAGCCATGTGATCTGGGGGCCTGCTGGCTGATGCAGCCCTAAACCAGGCTGCCCCACACACCACAGACGTGCCGGGGGCTGCGATTAATAAATAGCCGCTTCATCTGCAGTGAACGTTTTCTGTATATATCGTGGCATTATGATAACACCGATTGCGTTCTCTTCAGAAAGTAGCAGCAAATGGCCACAGAAGGTGAAAAGCGACTTTGTGGCGAACCTCCCCGGGATGCTAAGGTGGAAAATGATGTAGTGGAAGGGAAAACACAGCCCCGACCGCCCTCTTGTGGGTCCCCAGCTCGGGCTCGCAGGGGCCAGAATAAAACTGCGGCGGGAGGGAGGCAAATGCCACCCGCTCCCCTCCTGCTGCTCAGAGGTGCGAGGGCCATCGCGTTAGCCGTAGCCTAATGGATGCCCAAACACAAAGGGATGGTTATATGGGAACAGATATCCACGTGGGGTTTGGTGGTGAATTCATGCCTTGCTGTAGGCAGCTATTAATAACACTGGCTATTACACTCTGATTTGCAGCTTGTGTGGAAGTTCCTCAGGCACTATTCACACCGGACAAATGCTGCTGTGCGTTGGACTCAAAATGCAGGTTTCTGAGCTAGCAGTGTTTTTATTTGTTTGTTTGTTTTTAATAACTGCTTGGAAGCAGTGCTGGTTGCGTGGTCAGAAGGAGCAACCTGTGACTGTGTCAGCTGCACTTCCATTTAAGAGATGGGAATGTCGCCTTTGCCCAGTGCTGCTTTGAATCAGCTTTTTTTTTTTGGAAACGTGTG